ATCATAAGAGAGATCCTGGCACTTCTGTTTCTCAGTTCTCTAAACGACACTTTCTAGGTATGTAGTGCAATGAATAAGACAGTATAGGGATGCGTTTTGGGAGTCTTTCTCTTCTACACGCATCCAAGCTTGGCGGGCATCACTTACACGGTCTAGTATGGCCAATCAAGTCTCTTGTATTCAATGTAGGAACGCAATTTTTAACAAAGCGTTTCCCTAGAGAGCTTTGCCCTTTTTATAGCCAATGAAACCTCGGAATCCCAATCCCCAGCCATTGTCTGCATCAATCTAAATCGGCGCTGGTAACGGCCGATCCCCGCCTTCCCATGTCAAAAAATCTTCAGTCGAGGCAAGTACTGATCAACCTTTGACGGACCTCCCAGAAAAGCATAATTTTTTGTACCAAGAACGATATAATTGGATAAACTCATAACCATTCATTGATTCAGGGGCACGCCAACTTGACTCTTGCCCTCGTTGCATGGATAACTCACCAAGGTTCTTCTGTTTTGAGGTGACTTCTTTGAGTTTTGCCGCCCCAGTTTTCTTCTGTGTATCGATAGTAGATTTCGTAGGGCCGTTTTGGAGGGCAAAAACTTCCAACAATCATCATCCGCCGTATTGACGACTACGCCGCCGCGCCGAACAGCACCACGCCTCGAGCCTATACCTGAGAGATCTTCTAAAACTACCGTTGGACGCTACTTTCACTGCTTATGCTTTAGTGAAGTCGAAATAATGGCTGAGCCTGGCCAGCCGGAGCTCAACGCGGGAATGTCCCCGACGGGTGCGTACAGGTCCCGCTGCTTCACGGCAGACATCTGTCGCAACAGACGAACTTTGCTCAATGCTGACTGTAGTGACCGTAGGGATCAAGAAAGAGCCCACTAATGAAGCTGACATTCTCGAGGGCCTCGGCCTTGACCTCGATTCCATCATGCAAGCTGCGACTAAACGACCATTTGAAGAGGAGTCTAACGGCGACGACCCGTCGAAGAGGGTTAAGACTGAAGCCGAACCTCCCTCTGAGCATGCACTCGATCTTCCCCAAGGTGCTGAAGAAGAACTCGAAGATGGCCTTGCGCTTCTCGTACAGAATGCGCTCAGCAATGTCAACGACTTCGTCTTTGGTTCCTCGAACGATCCCATGGAGATTGATGGCATTACCGACCATAACCTACCTCCGCCGCCTCCTCCTCCTTCACCTCCTTCAGTCTCATTCTTCTCCGACCCTCAGAAGTATTTGCGCAAAGCCAGTCGACATGCGCTTGGCAACTTGGTAGGTGGCGCGACTTGAGAGATACCGCAGCGCTTACATGGGTGGGATAGGCACTTTCTGTCCTCCTCTTATTCTCACAATCATTCGACGACTCGATAAAACCTATTCAAGATGCCGACTCACAACACGCCAAGTCATTTCGCAACCTACAAGCTTCTTTTGCGCAGATCAAGCAAATATATTCTTCGGGGCCCATTCTATCAGCCGACGATCCGGACCTCCACGACCACGAATCCCGTACGATCCTCGATCTAGCGAACCTTGCTCAATTCGGTATCTGGCTACTACAGACCACGCCATCCTATTCCGAAGCTCATCAGCACTTCCATTCCATCTTCAGAGGCCAAGTTTCAGACCTCGGTTCGGATGCGCTCGATCTATACCTTTCCCTCAAAACCCAAGTAGCCATCGATGCGCTTGCTACAAAATCTCAGGAACAACCCAAGGAGCAAGTTTTGGAGGAGGCACTAATCAATGGCATGGAAGAAAAGCTACGGGGGCTTCATAACGGGCTCGATCTTACGCCCGCCGATTCTGAGTTTATCACCTCCGTCCGAGCGAGGAAAACGTCTCTTGAGGGTGAAGCTTCTACCGAATCTGGTGAGTGATTTGTCGGCAACAATGTAGAGCTTCTTACTCACCAGTACTAGCTGTTTTGAGAGAGAAATACAAGGTCGACGATTTATTGCGGCAAGTCTCGACATGTGTAAAGACACGGCTCGCATTGATGTCGGACCTTGGATCAAGATTAGGCCATCCTATGCGATCTAGCGAAGAGACTGCAGTTGACCTCTTGGGCGATACGACCGGCGATGCGAATCTCGACTTGGACGAGCTCTCATCCTTCTTTGAAAAGACAGCTTCCGGGCTTGTTCAAGATGCTTTGGCTGGACTGTCTGAAGATACCACTGCCACCCCTGCCGAGGCCAATCCTCAACCTGAGCAAACACCCACTGTCGCCGAAACAATCGAACCGCCAGCCGTGGTCGAGCCTACCAAGAGCCCCGAGAAGGAACCTGCCTTGACTCCTCAGGCAAACAGCAAAGTGGAATGCACTCAACAAGATTACAAGGAACTGGAGGCGCTGGTAGCCCAAAGCACAGATCACTATGTCAAGACTACACTACATGGCTTGTCGCCGGTACCCTATCAACCTACAGTTCCCACAAGCACGAGTGAGTTAGGTCCCAGAAGAACGCAAAGATCATTAGCTAATGTGAACGCAGCCCAAACATATCTGAACCAGCTCCAACAACAACAAGCCCAGAACCCGTACTTTTCATCATATACGCAGAGTATCCCTGAGCCACAACCACCGCCTCAAGAACCAGGCCATCAGCTCCCGCCACATCAGACCTGCTCCAGTGCATTGTTGTACGACAAGGCTCGTCAAGCAGCCCTCTCCAAGAATGCGTCTCATACAAGAAGAGAAGGCATCCACTCAACACGTCGGCCGTGGACTCAGGACGAAGAGAAGGCTCTCATGGCAGGCTTGGACATGGTCAAAGGGCCCCATTGGAGTCAGATACTCACCTTGTTTGGGGCGCAGGGTACAATATCAGATATACTTAAAGATCGGACACAAGTCCAGCTCAAGGACAAGGCTCGTAATCTCAAGTTGTTCTTCCTCAAGACCAACTCTGAGATGCCATATTATCTCCAGGCTGTCACAGGCGAGCTCAAGACACGAGCTCCTACACAGGCAGCGAGAAAGGAGGCTGAAGAACGCGCAAGGATGACTTCGGAGGAGGACCAGGCTAAGATTCAGGGAATCATGACACTGGCTGGAGGGTTGCAGAACTCTCCACAAGGACAGGGAAGGGCTGCAGGAACGCCAGCATCAGCCGTTGGTTCAGGAGTTATGACGCCTGCTCAGAATGCGGCTCAGGCAGCGTCGTCGCAGCAAAGCCAGGCGCACAATCAAGCAGCTGCCCATTCGTACAACCCAGCCACTTCATCGGGATATCCACCATCGACCTTGCCGCAGTCAAGGCCAAGCGTTATGTCGGCAACACAACAGTCGCCCCATCAAGCAGCGCATCCTCAATCACAAATGTCTATGTCTCCTCAGACCCCGCGATCCCAGCAACAACAACTACCTCAGCAGCAGCACAGTGCTATGCACTCTCCCGCCCACGCCCAGGCTGCTGCTCAAGCTCGCTCCCATACGTCGACACCCGTCGGACAGCTACATCACTCCCCGCCGCCACAACATACACCAACTCCTCAACCAGTTACTCAACACCATCCTCAGCCTCACTTCCCGCCAGCTCCACAGACTCAGCTCACATTCCCTTCTCCTCCTCCGCCTGCAAATGCCACGCCTAATTTACACACACATGGTCAGGTGCCAGTTCCAGATACGCAAACACAGATAGATCAACACATGCACGACAATGCTGCGGAGGCAGCACTGTTGCAAGGACTTCAGGCAGCAGTGGCAGAGTCCATGTAGCACAACGTTGCACAATATGCTTGAAAAGACGACCACATACAGTGGGCTGTTTTGACGCACGACCTTGTTAGGCTCAAAGAACTGTTTGGTGTTTCTGTTCACTTTTTCTCCTTATAAATGTTGATTTCGACGGCGGACCAGTTGCTTTATAGCGAGCCATGGCAACTAGGTATGCATCAGGGGGTGCTAGGCGCAGTTGGCTATAGTCTTTTCCGCGAAAAAAAAAGTTTCTTCTTCTATAGATAAGAAAGCCTCGATGGCCGAATTAAAGGGAAAAGGAGGGAGTGGAGAGAGACGAGAGGGATAGAGACAGCGCAGTGAAGTGGAGGTCTGGCTTGGAATGATACCACGAATTAGGAGGTGAAATGATAGATGATGACTGGAAACAGCGGGAGATAGACAATTGAATCATCCCTAATCTTCAACCAAACATTTTATTCTGGTACTGTGATATGCCGTGCTACTGACGATGAGTCAAGATTGAAGATTGCCATTGTGGGTGAGGTTACTCATGCCACAAGGTTGAAAATGCCTGAGTCGCCTATTCGCGATCTTGCAGCCGGGAGCTTACAAAGGCATCCCAGTGGTTCGTTTCATGATGTAGCTCGCCGTGTGTCCTGCATGAAGAGTAGTACTGATCCACGTTGGTGGCAGCCCATGACTTCGGCTCTCTATCTTGTGATACGTGCCGTGGACGTTCAGTTCAAGCGCAGAGCCGCATGAGCACGATAAATGAGTGCATAAATTGCCGCTCTGGTCCTGATTTCTGGGCCTTGAGTCTGAAGTGCAGAGAGACAATACATCTTACCCCTTTTCAACATGTATCACATGCCATATGAATTAAGGCGCGGCTGGCCTTCGGCCTGTGCGGCGACAGGGACCATGTGTCGCAATCAGCCAGTCCGTATACAGGTGAATGGGCGGATGTATCCGTCAATTTATTGCCAGTTCCATGCGTGCTGACAAGTTCAGAACGGGCGAGCATGTCCTATACAGACGTTACCCAGAGCCTCTGTTTGTGCTCGGCGTGAGTTGTCATTGCTAATCTCTAACCAGGATCAAATGGCTAACTAGTAGGTAGATATTCAATGTCAGGCAATAGACAATGGAACGAAATGTAGATTGGAGGTCAAGGAAGGGGATATGTTGGCATACAGATATTGCCCACAGCTTCGTAGGGCAGCCCCTTGCACTCTTTGACTCAAAAGCTAACAATTACAGATCTTTGCGAGTATCAAGACTGTCAGAATCTGAGATCTCGGCATCATGATCAATACCTCCCGCTCTGCGACGACCACCGCTGCCAGTACGACAGCTGTCGGAATCCTCGAGACGGCGGCGCTGGTGTGTTCTGTCGATCTCACACTTGCAACGAGCCTTACTGCGGTGCCTTTGCTCCAGGCACAGATCCAGACGACCCTCAACGCTTCTGCGAGCGTCATCGTCAATGCCTTAGACCGCACTGTCCACGCCTCTGCCATACTCGCGAGAACGGACACCCCACACCTTTCTGTGGTGCACATTATTGCGAGGCACATGACTGTGACGATGGTCGCGAGAGGGGTGCTTTTTGCAGTGCGCATACGTGTGTCGAGCCAGGCTGTGTAAGAGGGAGGCAGACCCCTGGTGAGTACTGCAGGGAGCATACGTGTAGGACTTGGAACTGCCGCATGAGGAAGACTGGGAGGGAGTTTTGTCCGCAGCACGAGTGTGCCTACGATGGCTGTGACGCTGAAGTGGAGGAGGGTAGGTTTTGTGGTCCTCACTATAGTAGACATATGGGGGCTAGATATGGAGGAAGAAGATATCCGGCTCCAGGGATGAGATATCCTATCTACGACGACGGTGAGTTCACTTGATCTGTTCTGTTGCAGCTGCTGACTCAGATTCTAAGGGATAGATCCCTATGATATGTGTCCAGGCATCCATGACAGAAGAGGATGTGGCCGAAGACCTGAACACGGCAGTCCATTCTGCCAACACCACATCTGTCACGTCCACGACTGTCCAGCCCCTAGGACCCGATCATCCCAGTTCTGCGTTGATCACGAGTGCCCTGTAAATGGGTGTCCTCGTCCAAGGAATACGCGACCCCGCGGGATTAGAGATGGTGACTCGCGATTCTGCGACCAACATACCTGCAGCCATCCTGGTTGTGCTATGCATACTGAGGAAGGTTCAGATAGATGCATGCTTCATGGGCATGATCTGCCTATGTATAGGAATAGGAATAGGAACAGGATGCCGGATGGCGATGGGGTCAGACTGGGGAGATTTCCTCGAAGTTTCAGAAATCGAAACTACGATGATGAGGATGAAGATGATGATGGGCCCCCGTTTGGTCAAAGACAGTTTGGATGGGCTCAGCCAAGGCGCAATCAATTCGCAGCATGGGGTAGAGCAGTCTGATAGTACCAAGGGTGGCTCATTTCATCCGGACACTCAGCCACAGTTGACGAGGACTAATTTGTTGGGGGCGGTCTTTGGCGGGATACATTAGTACCTAAGGTAGAATGTAAATTGAGGCTATTCACAGAGACATTTGCGATTGTGGATGCAGGCAGGCAGGGTCTTGACCGTGGCTGGGCCGAGCCGAAGAATAAAGTGCTTGCATTTTGGTTTCTGCAAGGGCGAGCGGAAGTGCAAGGGGTCCCGTGGTGATGATGCCTATTTTTGAAGATGATGGTGTTGAAGAGGAGAGACTGGAGGCCTGATGTACCTGTCATGCGGACAAGCACAGTCATTTCCATGTTTCACACTGTATATTCGCTACTGTCAGTATGTCTATCTACAGTGTGCCTATCACGACTGCACAGTCCCCTCTAGGTCTCTTGACTATCAGCCCAACCACGCGATGTCCCGCTCACGCTCATCAGGAACCAACACCTGCACATGCACGTCACTCAGCTAAAGATGCACGACACATGGCGGTTTTGATCTTCTATAGGTGCCCTTTCTTTAGTAGTATTCATTAGCCGCAGCCGCCAGGGCTTTAATTCCGTTGATCTCTTTGACGCGCTTTGACAACTTCATTAATACACTGGCCTATCAGTTCAACTCATCACTTCAAAGAACTTGCAAGCTCCGATCAATGCATAAACATAGCATTATCTATCATAACTCTTACTTAGTCAAGCTATTGTATCTAGTTGAGTCCTCTGGCGTATTGCTGACTTTCTCTGTCTGTCTGCCTGCTCTGTAAAATGACCACCATCATCAATGAGACAAAATCAACAGATGGCCACGCGCCACTCCAAGGACTCCAAAATACTCATGTTGGTTCTTCTTTTTCAACCTAAACTAATTTTAAAGTCCCATACTATGTAAATGCTCTGCCACAGTTTGAGTCCTACGCTCTAACTCAGACACTCACTCACTTACACTTTACCACATCATACGCTTCTATAAGCCACGATGTTGAGAATTTCGCGTCCGCGTGCTTCTCAAAGTGGAACATTCAAGTTAGAATGTCTTTGATGCGAGTTCTCTGTGATTGCTCAACTATAAGTGATTGCTTATAAAAAGCATTTGCTCTTCGCGGGCATAATTCCCTTGTTCAAACACTTCTGACCTTCTTTGATCACCTGCATTGACCCGACTGTCTCTTTCAACTGTCATTCTTTATATCCGTGGGAGCTATTTCGAGACAATAATAGGTCATTCATATCACCGTAAGACCTTTTTATAAGTCTCAACTATCGAGACACTTTCCTTATATCTTCCATCATACCCAACTATCTTAAACCCGGATCTTCTGTCTTCTAAACTTGACGCAACTCTCGACTACCTCGACTATCGAACCCAAAAAGAAACACAGTGAAACGAAACATCGATCGACATGTCTCGCCGCTGTTATGTCGAGACCAGTCCTGATGGGCGTCCTCAACTCGTAACCATCAAGCGCTCCAGATCCTACCATCACTCCCACCGCCATCCATGCGATTACTACAAAGTCAGCCGCGAAGAATGGAGGACTCTTGTACGACAGAACGAACTTCTAGATGAGGCCAACCAAGCATACGCTTCCCAGAATGAAACCCTTCGATCTCGGCTTCACAGTTCCGAGGCAGAGACTCAACGACTATGTCACGTCGTCATCCCCTCTCTGAACGATCAAATCGCCAAGTTATCCCACGAGAACGAATGTCTTCGTCGTGCAGCCGAAAAGCCCTGTGATCCCCCAGTTCACACCTATCACTTCGAGCTAGAGAAGCTGCGCGCCAAGATATGCAGACTTGAAAAGGAGAACAAGACTCTACGAGATGACAATGGAGATCTTCGCTTTAGAGTACGCGAGCTATCTAAACAGATCGACCAGAGCATCAGTCGAAGAGTCGCAGACTTGACTAAGCAGATTGAGTACTGGACGAACCAATCTGGATTCTGGAAGAAGAAGTACGATGAACTACGCGAGCGACATCTTGGTCTGATTACAATTGTCGAGTCCAAGACTGAGAAGACGGAGTATTACGATGATGTTCTGAAGCGACGGCGCGTTTGTTAATTCCTTAATCGGCCTTTCTTTATAACCTCAAATGGTTTTCTTATGAGTATCATGATATTATCTAAATAGAACAATGGTCAAGGTCTAGACTGGTCCTTGCTTTCCCCCTTTGTCAACACCGCCATCATCTGGCACTATTCCCTTTCGCGATTCCTTTCCTCCATAGAGGCTTTGTTCTTTTGTTGCCAAGGTATGAAGAAGCCTCTCAATCTCATTTGGTGGTATACTGATACTCTGCAGTTGGATACTCCCCTGTCTGGATAAAGGCTGGATTTCAGGTCATATGAACTCGACGTAACCTATGTCTTTCGCCATGGTTACATTCTACTACAAGAGGAGGCATAGCAATACGTTAGACGGAGTTTGTTCATACACAGATACCCTATGTGGTCGAGTAGAGAGAATGATAGTCTCCCACTAAGAACAACTTGCACCCCTCTTGAACCTACAAACATAACTAGGTATTCTATGTGACCGCGTGGTTAAGCTAGACTGCATGAAAGCTATCTTGTGACGTACGAATCCCATCATAAATAAAAAGGAGGGAAGGGTCATGAGAACTCAACTCAACTCAGGGTAGCATCCAGATATAAAATGTCTTAGAAACTTCACTTTTGCAACGACACTAAGCATCAGGTAAGCAAACTAGCAACACAAAGATATCGTTAGAGATCTGCGGTTCCTTCCCAGCTCAACAGAATCAAAAGGAACAGACTGGATTGTAATTGCTCGAGCATTGTGCACTGCCATGGCGTAATGTGGCATGATGGCAGTGCATTTAAGCCGCAATAATCGCATGCTTTGTAAGACGGCGGATGTTCTCGACAGCTCGATATGCACACTGGTGCCTTACTGTCTCCTGGCGAACCATACTAAAACCTGCATTTTTGTTTGTAATTAGCCGAGCACTCTACGCGGTGCAACGCGATATCCCGTGGTATCGCGCATCTTCTCCCGAAACTCGTGGGGCATGTCATAGATAACGACGACGTGAAAAGGAGGGGCAGGCGAGGCAACCAAAGAGAGAGGGGTAATGACTGAATGACCAATAGAGGCGGCCTCAAACTTAGAAAACTGGCGGGAGATGGTGAAAGAAAAAGTCCTATTCTAGGCAGAAGGGGACTTTGGCACCATAAGGATTGGTCGCCTGGTTTAAGTGGAAAAAGGCGACCAGGATAACTTTTGGGGGCCGACGAGACATTGGATATTGATGTGTGGAACTGGTGGAGGAGCGGTTTGAGAATATGTACGCATGCATATACATACATCCATATGGCAGTGCCTTGATCCGTGAGAGGACAGTCTGATGAGGGTGTGGTAACAAGGGAAAATGGCTGCACACCGATTTAGTATCGAGGTTTGAGGGACCGTTCCGTACCGTGAATGAAAGAAAGGGTGTGGAGTACACGGGAGGGACCCGTAGTGGTGGTATCGTGACGGATGTGGAGGACGTCGAGCATGACATGAGAGCGCCAAGAGGTGTGAGTCTGAAAGCGGGTGACCAGTGCGAAGAGGTTGCGAGGCCTGGCTCGAGGTTGTCTGGGTGAAGTAAAGTTGGTCTAGGAGCTGGGGTGCAGTATTTTCACATGACCTTTCCTAACAGCATTATCCAGTTTGACTCACATGGAGGGCCTCAGAATAAATTGGTCGCGCTTATCAAAACAGACAGGGGCTGTGTATAGTGTGTAGTGTAGGAATGACAAGCAATTTGATCAACAAATTGTATTGTAAAAACGGCACACCTTGATCTCGAGTGTGCGTGACTTGAAAACGCGATATCGCAATTTGATACGCCTTTGGTTGAGAATCGCCAGCAAGCGGGTAGATCCGCAGTTTAATTGGCGATGCCACGGTAAAAGGTTTGACGTTTACTTTCCGAGTTCGGAAATCCTATAGAAGCCTGTCGGCCGTGTTAAACCCGCATCGCAAGTCATTTAGCGACCGTTACCGTTATAGGCAAACGAAACCTGGAGGTGGAGGCCCAGTGGACGGGAGCAGCCTCCCGCTGGGTCGGTAAGGCAGGGTACGTACCGGGCTGGGCTTGGGGCTGAAGACCTCGGGTCGGTACACAGAATTCCACATCTGAAATTGGTCAACAAACTGTCAAATTCAGGGGGTGGGAGTGCAAACGCACGCAATAAAGCATAAGGAGCTAGGGCTGGAAACGTGGTAACGGGGTAGCTTGGCGACGGAATGCGGGAATGCAAGGAGAGCCTACGATAATGACGGAGCTCGCTCAACTCTATCCACAAAAGAGCTCATAATCAAGCATTGAATGCCAGCAAGAGTCAAACTAGCTCGAGGCTACCTCACGAGCCGAAAACAAAGGGGGGCGCTTATCAGTCTAATGGCCCAGCCCCAGTCAACATCAAACACTCCATTCCCGCCGAGTCAGAATTTTCCATTCTGCCCCAATTTTGTTCTGACAAGCGGGTAGGGAAAGAAGCTCAAGCGTTTACTCCGTACCGCAGGTTAAATTATTAAACCCCCAGAAGCGGGAGGCCCTCCCGGCGGATGTCCCCCGGGTCCGGGCCCGGGCGACCGGCGATGGGCGGCTTCTCGAGGACTAGGGCATGGGTCTTGACTTGAAATGGTTTTGCTCTCCACACACAAGCTCTTCTTCCATTCCGACCTGTTGAGCGATGTCTCCCCACGATTATGTATGTTGGAATACCAACTAGAAGCGCAGCACGATATCGTACCTACATCGGTAGTGCAGTGTAGTGTAAATCGTTTCCCTCCATTCATGATGCGCATGATATCGCACATCCTGCAGAAGACATCATGGGTTACCAACCGAAGCCATGCTGCCACTCATCTGCTCCCGGCTGCAAGAAAGCGAGCTGAAAGGGTTGGGCGACCAAAGACAAACGAACAAGGGGGGCTTCACACGCATCACATCAATGGCTGCCCTGGTCCAGGAGTAACGCACCACGGGAGTTGAAGTTGGATGGATGTTTGCACACACACGAAATAATTGTAAAGCTTTCTTTCCATGTGCCGAATAAGTCGCATTGACGACAAGGGTGACGGCGCAGAAACGCAACCAACGATACGGCGAAACTTCCATGTTAGCATGTCGCACGTCAAGCGAGCCCCCTTCACTCCGCCAGCCCGATGAGTCACTCTCCTATAGCTTCCGTCCAAAACGGACTCTTTTGGGTGCTTTGTGGGCAGCGGAGGCGCTCCAGGGGCGGCGTAAGAAGTGACTTGGTCGCTCGCTCATATGGCGGTGTCCGCACCGGTGACAGTACTTAGCCACGAAGCAGCATGAAGCGGAGTCGTCGGCCAGCAGATAATCAACAACACGACCTTTTGTCAAAAATAGGCTGGTGTTGGCGAACCAGTATTGTAAACGTTGCGACAATGTGAATCATAATTTCTTCCGTATCTTTTTTTGGAGGGTGGTTAGTGGGAGGAATGTAAAATGTTCGTGGATATCATGACAATCAACGGAAGTGAAACTGGCTGTTTCCGACCCCCCCTTGTCTGTCATCCAGGGTGTCTGGCTGATGATGACTGGGGGTAGCTTTTAAAGACGGTGACGATGTCGGCAACGCTTTTCTAAGCCCTCTCCTCTGTCTAGGCCTTTTCTCGTTGCTTTTCCGCTGCAGGTGTTTTCTTTTGCTTTGCCTAGGTTACGGCGTAGCACAGGCCAGGGATAATGATACATACAAATATCCCATATCATGCCCCTTTTTCGGCGATATGAGGGATTCAGGAATCAATGTCCAAGCAAAGAGCCGGGGGTGGTATAAGAGCACAAAAAGACCAGAATTTAGAAGCCGAACCGGCAGAGAAACAGAAAAGGACCCCGGCTTTGACAGGGGTTTAACGTTTGGAGGTGTGGGCGAAGTGGGCATTGGGCTCTAGTCGGCTCCCCTTGGGCATTGAGCGTTGGTTGCGGTCCCTGGTGTTGGCGTCACAACGCTTTCACTCATCGACTTTGCGCATACCGCACTGGCGGGTTTAATGTGTTGAGAAAGGATCCATGGCTTGTCTGAAGCGCAAATGCGAGTCTGAGTGTGTGCGCCAGGCCCAGTTTCCATTTACCATGTCTCTGATGTTCCAATCACGAGGTTGGAAAAAGAGTTCCCCTTCACTCCCTCTTTGGTGGTTCGCACACACCCTCAACTCCCTTTATTCTCTCAGTCTGGACAGGGGTTGATGCTATTTTGTAACGCAGTGATGAGGATGGGAGAGGAAGAAGATGGCTGTTCCCTATTCCTCGGGTGCATGTGCGGTGCGGGTGTGTATAGTACTGCATACCTTACCTAGGTAGGTACCTAAGTATGTAGGATCAGAGGAGGAGTCTGCATCCTGTCTGTCTGTCTGTCCCTTTCCCGTCTCTCCGTCTCTCTCCGCGTTTGCGTGCACCGCAATGTACCGACTCTGCATAGACGTGCAGTTGAGTATGTATAGGCGAGACCATAGCAGACCGCAGATAATTGTCTCCCCATCTGCGTTTTGTCGTCATCTGTCCATGTTGAGCATAGATCAAAGAAGAGCGAGTGTATGGATGTAAGTGTGTAAGACGATAGTAGCTGAAAAAGCAAGGAATTTCTTTTCCATAGGTAAACTCTGAGGCAGACACAGACGACAACAACCATGTCTTAGAAGGAGCACCTCATTCACTTCAATTTCCTTTCTTTCCATATTGATACTCTATCCCCTGCCTCTGTGTCTGCCTACCTGCCTTGCTTTGTCTTAGGCCTGGCCCTTCCTTTATTGCGCCCCCCTTCTATAGCCCACCCCCCATTCCAGCAACTAAGACACCTGTAGCCTGTAGGTAGGCCTTTTCTTTTTTTTCTCTCCCACAGCCGAGTTTGACAAAACCCATATCAACCCGAATATTCTACTTTTTCCCTCTTCTGCCTGCACCTGAACTCACTTCTCTTTTCACCACACACAGGTTTATTCCGACCTTTTTCTCTCGAATAATCTATTCTACTCTGTACTGTGCTACAGAAAGGATATCTATCTATCGTCTTTGTTTTACTTGTTGGTAAAGCAATAGTTAACAACTAACTTGAGTTTACATCTCAACTCATCTCTCTTAACTCGACGTCACCTTTTTTTGCCTTTGTGGCCCCTCGCGCTCCCGCTCCCGTTCCCGCTACAACCCCTCCCGTAGAGAGCCTCCAGCCAAAAACGCCCGCGCTCTTCTACCCGCCTGCCAGACCAAATTACACCGCTGGTCGTTGGGCAGAGCTGCACCGCAGCGAACAGAGTTAACACCACAAAATAACCACGAACACACATTATCGAGACCACTTTGGCGTCACTTCTCGCCTCTTCTCTATTTCTTCTTTCTAGTTGTTGGCGATCGTAAACAGCCCAAACCGACGCCATGCCTCTCCACCAGCGAACTTCTGCTAGCCCATCTAAGAGGAGCAGCTCCTCTGTTAGGAGCACTGTCTCCGCCAGAAGCACTAACTCTTCCTCCTCCTCCAAGTCAAGGGCCTTGACTGGTATGTTCAATGGTCGCCTTTCAAGTTCCCCGCCTCAGCCGACTAACACAACCTTTGCTTTTGTAGTGCAAGACCATGACTACGAATATGAATTCGATATCGAATCCGAGCTGCGCGACGATCTTCAAAAGGCCAACACAGAACTCAACAAGGCCAATGCCGAGAACGACAAATTGAGCGCCCAGAACGACAAGCTCAAGGCCACCATCGAGCAGCTCACCCGCAAGTTGAACGAGTCCAAGACATCACTCGAAGAGACCACCCGCAAGCTCAATGAGTCTACAATCTCGTGCCGTGAGCTCAAGGCCCAGATCGAGGGTGTGCGCTCTGAGGCCGATGTCCTACGAGAGGACAATCGCCGTCTTAACACCGACTTCGAGGAACTCAAGGGCGATAAACGCCGCCTGAACAATGAGTGTGAGGAACTCAGGGAGGAGAAGGAGGCCCTCAAGGAGGAGAAGGAGGCCCTCAAGGAATTGAATGAGCGCGTCAAGTTCGAGCACCATGATCTTGAGCAACGCTTCATCGGTCTCCAGGCCAAGCATGAGAACCTGACCATGCGCCACAATGCTGTAAGCAGCCAAGCTCCCTCGTCTGCCATGACGAGCCCCATGTCCAGCCCAATGCCCAGTCCTCTTCCCGCCCCTATTCAGGAGGGCCGTAAGAACCCCTCCCGTCCTTCCAGCAAGGCTTCTAGCAAGGCCTCTAGCAAGGTTTCTACCAAGTCATCCAGCAAGCGAGAGCCTCGCGAGGACCGCCACCGTGAGCAGGAGGATCGTCACCAGTCTGAGCGGGAAGAGAGCTCTCGTGAGGAACACACTCGTGAGAGACGTCACCGGGATGATCGCGAGCGCCGCGACCGCGACCGTGAGGATCGAGGACGCCCCCCGCGCAGCGAAAAGCCCAAGGACAAGGAAAGATTTGAGGCCAAGGAACGCTTGTCGAAGCGGTTTGATGAGCGCCCTGCCGTGGCACCTCGTCAGACCAGCTTCATCGAGCCATGGGGTCCCGGAGGTTGGTCTCCTCGTTATGATGCCCCTTCAAGCGACTTTGACGCTTACGGCCATATGGCAACAGGACGCAAGGCCGCCAGTGTTGTGTCTAGCGGGGCTTATTCCAATGTCCCTCGCACGACCAGCATTGTCAATGGTCACTTCAGCAGCGACAGCAGCGCATACGATGATGAGCGGTATGAGGATGGTTCTTACCATGCCTACCCCATCCCTAACTAATCATTCTTTTGTCTTGTTTGATCTGCCATTCTCAAGATTACGTGGTCTCTGACCGCATGCCACCAAAGACAATGGGCTACAGGTCAAGGCAGGATACTCGTGGGGATCGACATGATTCACATGAGCACACTCCCTCTTCGAGACGCCCTCGAGGAGTGAGATCCTAGTAGGTAGGGCTTAACACCAAGCTCCACCTCTTTATCTCTTCCAATTGTTACCGATGATCGGATTCTGGCCAGTCACCTTCCTATTATGACTCAATTCCAATGGCGAGTTGTTCCAGGCCTAGTCTACTAATGTGTCGCCTTTCCCCCGCATGGAATATGGTTACCGACGCCGGCCGAGATATTTAAGCTCCCCACAGGATTATCCAATCCCACTCGCAGCATCCCAACTTAGACTTACATTTATTTTTCTGTTGGTTTTTGCAGCTATACACAGACCCCAATCGAGTTGATTGGGATCTCTGCTTTTCATACATACGTTTTACATCATCGCCATGAAGCTTTACCCTTCCATTCCTGAGGACCTCGCCGCCTGGGTGCAGCAGCAACCTGTATTCTTCACAGGCTCTGCTCCTACTCATGGCTCTCATATCAATGTCTCTCCCAAAGGCCTTTCAGACTCGCACTTCGCTGTTCTAGGACCCAACCAGTGTGCCTATATCGACCGCACTGGTTCCGGATGTGAGACTATTGCCCATTCCTACGATAATGGCCGCCTGTGTTTGATGTTTATGAGTTTCGGTCCCGCCCCTCGGATTGTCCGCTTCTTCTGCCGGTCCAGGATTGTCGAATGGGATGACCCAGCCTTCCCAGATCTGGTCCGTCGAATCTCCAAGGGAAAGCGTTCTACATTTGATGGCGCCAGAGCCATCATTCTGGCTGATGTTTTTGAAGCCCAGACAAGCTGTGGCTTCGGTGTTCCCCGGGTGAAGAGGGGTATATATGCACCTGATGAGACCTCTGAGAAGAACTTGTCTCTTGAGCAAGTCCTTCAAGAGGGTGTGGATGGTAAAGTGAATGAGCTGGCTGTGTTTGAGGAGAGGCCCACAATGGATATGTGGGTGGCAAAGCGAGTTGAAAACAACACGTTGTTGGATTATCATAAGGAAACCAACGTGCTGAGCATGGACGGTTTGCCTGGACTCAGAGCTGCTCGTCGGAGCGTGGGAGAGACGTTATGGTTTACGGATGCAAAGGCGCATGCAAGGAAGGTTTTTGCACAGAGCGAAGCGATTGCAGTTGGATTTGTTCTTGCATTGTTGTTGTACGTTGTCATGGTTTCAGTTGGAGCGATTTCAGCGTCATGGCCAAGGATTCAGGCTTGAATGGATATAGGAACGGCGCAATTTTCGGTTTTGGGATACCAAAAAGTACAGTGTTGTTTGGCTTTCAAAAAAAGGTGTTCCCTCGAAGGGATTGGATTTCTTTACGTCTTTATGTCCTTACTTTTTTTTTCTCTTTTTCTTGTTCCTATTTTCTTTTCTAGATACACATTTTCGTTCTTCTTGTTTGTCATACCAGATAGATTTGTAACGCGTTTGCTACAGGATGCAGGTCCAACAGCCTGTGTAGGAACGATACCACCCATGTTAGGATAGTTTATTAGTATTAGTAGCACTAGAGTCTTTGATTTAAAAATGTTCTCTTAAAACATTTGCTCCCTTTTCTGCCTTTGTGACTATGAGTTCAATATCTGGTTTTCCCCTCACTTTCTTGACGCCTTGTGAGTCATAATGACTCTCCGCACTTGATTCAGGGGTTGCTCTCCCACGTACGCAATGACCAACTGAATGACGGCATTCGCCAAAGAGGCTCTTGCGGGATTTATCTGAGACTACGGTGGTAATTGAAGCCCTCTCTCGGTTCATGCAAGATCAAGCATCTGCATTGTTCTGGAGGCAAGTAGTCGGAAGGCCCATGAAGCATCCGCATGTGCATGTTGACATTTTAACTCCAAGACTGCACCGCGCGGCGCACATCTAATCACATACTCAATGTAATCACTTATCAACACGAACTGTAGACGCAAAAGTCATATTGCTGCTTCGATCTCTGAACCTAGCATAATCACCCCCCTTACTCGCTATGCCACCTGCCCCTTCCTCAAACGCCACTTCCGCTGGAGTAATTGTCTATCAAAAGATCCACTCTGTATTGGATTCGTAGCATGCGCGCGCAACGCAAAGGCACAAAGACTGTAAATCAGCCGTGCTCTTAACCGCTTGCAATGTTTCAGCTGCTCTGATGCCCGACTCCTGGCTGCGTAGTGTCCATGCTTTGAGATAAGTTGGACTTGTTAAGCAACTGGGTTGCACATTAGGCTCATAACAGCGGCACAACGGCGCAGATTAGGCTGTTCGCTGGAGGGGTAAAATGTTCGAGAAAAGTCCGAAAAACATCTCTTTGCACTCAGCCGCCAGCGTTGGCCGGAGCTGGACTAGGAGGAGCAGTCCCTTGATTGTTGGAACTAGAATCCTTTGCCTTATTGCCTCCACCTCGTCCACGTCGACCACGGCCAGATCCCTTCTCCGGCGCAGCAGATCCAGCAACTGGAGCTGGGGCTGGTGCTGTCGTTGCCGCGTTTGCGTTCGTGTTGGCAGGCTTCTTGTCCTTGCGCTCCAAAACTTGCACAGTGCCCTGTGCAACAGTGATAGGACTGGCTGTAACAGCCTTCACAAGACCCTCGTGTTCAGCAAAGTCAACATAGGCAAACCCCTTTCTCTTGTCAATTTCAACAAAGGTAATTGTGCCAAAAGTTGAGAGTGTTTGTTTAAGCAACGCCTCAGTAACACCTTGAGAGGGGTTGGCATGCTTGACAAAGCCACGAGTAGCGTCAGGAGAAACAGTAGGAGGTTTCTTCTGGGCATTGGACCCCTTACTGGATCCGCCTTTAGAGCCACCAGCTGCATTTTCTGCTTTCGACCTCCCTCCCTGTGAGGCCGGCGCTTGCGTTGCGGCATTTGCTGGCTTCCCCGGTGGGTTGGATTCGGCATCTGTAGCCTTTTTCTTGAGAAGCACAATTGGAGGATTGGGAGCTGGTTGGCTCGATGTGCTCTCTTTGACTTTCTCCTTCTCTTTGCTGTTTTCCTTGCCCTTCTCCTTTCGATTACTCTTTTCAGCGTCCTTTCCGCCTCGAGTTCTGCGGTTTGCTTGCTGCTGTTTGTTCGCATTTGCAGCACCTCGTCCCTTCGGTTCTGGTGCTTCGACATCTGCTGATTTTGCAGGTGTAGATGGGTTTTCAGAAGAACTAGCCTTTGTTTCCGCAGTAGATGTGTTCTCCTTTTCAGGTGTCTTTGCATCTGCATCTGCTTTGGCAGCGTCTTGACGTGCCTTTCTATGCGCACTTCCGGGACTGAGACCAAGATCTCGTTGGAGGATCCTTGCCGCAGCCAAAATTCCCGCACGTCGACTCTTGGGTGCAGTTTCTTGGGCGCTGGAGTCATGGAGCTGGCTTTTAGCGTTGGTCTTCGAGGCCTCCGCATTCGGCTCAGAAGTCGCCTTCTTGGTGAGGATCTTGACGGTTTCCTTGGGAGCCTTTTCTCCCTTTTCGGCCTTGGACTCTTTGCCCTTCTTCTTACCCGAGTCTTCATCCTTGGACGAGTTCTTCCCCTTGGTGCTCCTAGAATCCTGCCCGTGTTTGGAATTTTTGGAGGATGAGCTCTCTTTGGCTTTGCTTGCCTTCTTCTCCTTAAGGTACTCGATGAGTGGCGTAGTGGTGACTTTAGCCTCCGCCTTACCAAGATCGTCGCCCTCTTCTCCCTCAACGGTTTCTTTTGGTGGTGCTGGATTCGCCAGTTCCTCCAAGAAAGCCATGAATTCAGGATCCTGATCGATTGTTCCCTGCCGAGCATCGGTGCGCTTCTTATTGCTTGGAATCTTTTTGTAAATAGAAAACTCAACAGAAGGAGGACCAATCAAAGAAGGGCTATTAAAAGATGCCTTCGCATCCTCCCAAACTGCGGTTCGCACAGCATTGCTCAGAGGCAAGATATCATCCTTTTTCATAACATGAACGTGGGCGCGACCAGGCCGAGAGGGTTTCGAGGGGCTTTGGACGGCGTTAGTAATATAAAACTCGGCGGCAGTATTCAGTGCCATACTCAGTAGAAATCTTTCCTTCCACGAAGGAAAACCAGTCAATCTTGCCCTTACCCAGCTCCCACTCGCTTCCAAGAATTGATACAAATTCTGCCTCGGTCATTCCAGGAGGGAGACGACGTATCACGAGCTTTTCACCCTCGTTATGAGCCTTAGCCTTGGTCGGTTTTGGAGTTTCGCTCTCATTCGCATGCTTTTATCATAGTTAGTCAGAGTGTCGTCGTTTCTCACGAATCTCGTCATGTCACCTTATTGGCCTCGGTAGATCTTGCATTAGAGCCTCTCCCTCTAGCTTTTCCATGAGAACTGTTCTCGTGTGGCCCCTTTCCCTGAAACAAGTCAGATATCTATGTCCCTTGCTCCCGAACGTCACTAATCACCTTTGTTGGTTCTGAGGTCTGGTTTGATGATGTCTGGGGACCTCCGTTTGCCCGTCGAGACAGGACTTGTGGTGTTTGAGCTGACATCTCGCATACCGCATATACCTCGGGTTGTAACTGATGATACCGTAATGTTGATCGATATAGCGAAAGGCTCAAGTGAGTGCTGTAAGGCTTGATGAATCGCGGCCTTGCTGCCCCGCCAGTGGCAGTGGGGCGATACTGGAGAGATATGCGATTATCCACCGAACGATGAATTCCTCACGTGTAGTCTTGGTTATTAGTTCGTATGATATTTTTAATGGCAAAGGGGAATATGTAAGTTAGTAAAAGAGAAATCTTGAAGTGGGTAAGAATCATTTATAAGATTAACCAAAACAGCAGGTGAATCTTGTTCAAAGTTTCTCTCTCTGGTCATGGCCGAAGAATTCCCGGCGTTTCACTATCGCACCCCTCCATAGCAAGGCAAGCAGGCCTAAGCATAAGCCCCACCCGATTCGCCGCATGTGTACCAGTACCACGACCAACACCTCACATATCGCAGTACAGGCTACGCTGGGCTGGCATATCTCTCCCCGCCATCATACTCCCACATAGACCTTCCATTGAAGGGGCATGCTAGATCATGGCTTCAGGCGTACCTCGACCGGGCCCTGCGAACCTGGGGCCCAATGCCGGCCTTGATGAGTGGCTAGAGGAGGCCAAACAATGTCATTACTTGCCTGAGCGCGCAATGAAGGAGTTGTGCGAGAAGGTCAAGGAGATTTTGATGGAAGGTGAAGACCGCCAGACTCAGATGCACCGCTGACCTGCTGACTCGGTACCTCAGAATCCAACATTCAGCCAGTCTGCACTCCCGTCACTGTGTGCGGCGACATCCATGGCCAGTTTTACGACCTTCTGGAGCTCTTCCGGGTATCTGGCGGTATGCCAGGCGAGTCCAACGTGCAGGCGCCGAAGACAGCTACCACCGTCATCACCTCGGACGATATCGAGCCACCAACAGAGATCACAAATCCCAAGTTGAGGAAGAAGATAAAGTCTTCGGGCGAGAATGCAACATCCAGCGGCGCGGAGGAGACCGAGGCAGTCGAGGCAGAGGAAGATCCTGATTCCACAATGGCAGACCAAACCGAGTCTGGCGTCACAGTGAACAAGTCAAGTCAAAGTGCCGATACTCGATACATTTTCCTGGGAGATTTCGTGGATCGAGGTTACTTCAGCCTGGAGACATTCACATTACTAATGTGCCTGAAGGCCAAGTAAGCACACCCTGGTGCTGGTCGCGTGTCTTGGCTAACCATATTCCACAGATATCCTGACAGAATAGTGCTTGTACGTGGTAACCACGAGTCTCGACAAATTACCCAGGTGTATGGATTCTACGAAGAGTGTCAGCAAAAGTACGGCAATGCCTCTGTCTGGAAGGCCTGCTGTCATGTGTTCGATTTCCTCGTCCTTGCCGCCATCATCGACGGTGAGATTCTCTGTGTCCACGGTGGTTTGAGTCCTGAGATTAGGACGATTGATCAAATCCGAGTTGTTGCCCGTGCGCAAGAGATTCCCCACGAGGGTGCGTTCTGTGACTTGGTGTGGTCAGATCCAGAAGATGTCGAAACGTGGGCTATCAGCCCTCGTGGCGCTGGATGGCTATTCGGAGACAAGGTCGCAACTGAATTCAATCATGTCAACGGATTGAAATTGATTGCTCGAGCCCATCAGCTCGTTAACGAGGGTTACAAGGTATTTAGCGTCATTCTTTCTCGACAAGGGTTGTACTAACGATGATCAGTATCATTTCCCAGAGAACTCGGTAGTGACTGTCTGGTCGGCACCCAACTACTGCTACCGCTGTGGTAATGTTGCTTCTATCATGGCTGTGGATAAGGATTTGAACCCCAGGTTTAGCATTTTCTCTGCCGTTCCCGACGATCAGAGACATGTCCCAGCAAACAGAAGGGGACCTGGTGATTACTTCCTGTGATGAAGAATGGTGTACGCATAAACGGACTTAATGGCATATGTTGCATGTAGAATAGCATAGGGTCAAAATACCCATGGTCCATCGGTGATTTTTAGTGGGAATGCAAATGGATGGTTATGGGTTGGGTAGAGTTGGTATCTCAATTACGAGCAAGGATGATCACTTCATTTATTACATTTGTGATATTCGTGCTGTCTTTTGGCTGTTTCAGTACACAGTAACTCTCTTCTATCAAGTGTTTCCTCATGACATCGACAACTCTGTTTTGGTAGAAGTTATCTGAACCCTTCTCGGTGGATCATTCACCAAACTCCACCTCCCACCAACATGTCAAAACCAAAGGCCCCCAAGCGCAACCCCATACAAAACGCCATCAACGAATGGTTTGATTCAGGGCTGGTCTCTGTAATAGGCAAAGATGAAGAATGGAAAGCCCAACTCTTGAACAGCGCACCCAAGCGCTTTACCATTTATGAACCCATGGTCTTGCTACCAACAGGAAGCTTCACATCCTTACCCTGGACAACCACATTACAAGACGCTGGCCCAGATTCATGCCAACAACTCTGGTCTAAGATCCTAGCACGGCTGTCGACACAGGCAAAGGAGCCATTGACTCATCTTGCCGTGAATGAAGGCATCCCTCTACACAAGGCAGGCGAGGAAGCGGATGAGAATGTGAGAAGAAGTCCAAGTGGGCTGCGCACTCTCTACGGAGATTTTGGGTCTTCAGATGCCTCAGCGGATGAACCTTCTGAAGAAGATTTTGAAAACACTTTGTGGGTTTCGACGAAGCAAAATGGAATATTCCAAACTTGGGCACCCAGATGGACAATGTTTAGCCGGGGAAATGTCAAAGAGAAAGCAAGGCTGTTGGGCATGGGGAACAAGACACTTCAGGGCTCATGGGCGGTTGATCTCTACGCTGGAATCGGCTACTTTGTCTTTTCATATGCTCGACTTGGCATGAGAGTCTTATGCTGGGAGATCAACCCATGGAGTGTCGAAGGTCTACGACGTGGCGCCAAAGCAAACCGGTGGAGCGTTCGAATTGTTCAAGGCGAAGATCTGGCCCTACCAAACGAAGACATCGTAAACGGAGGAGAGCAGATTATTGTATTCCTGGAGAGCAATGAGAAAGCCCTACAGAGGATACAGTCGCTACAGGGTAATGGCATGGCACAAGACATACGGCACATCAACTGTGGTTTCCTACCAACAAGCGAACCAACTTGGAGAGACACATGGGATATGTCCTCTCCAGCCAGTGAGACATGGCTGCATCTTCACCAAAACGTTGGCGCAAACGACACGGAAGCAAGACGCCAGGAGATACAGCGCAAATTCGACGACTGGAGCCAAGGAACAGATCGGACAGCCAAGGCCGAGCATATCGAGCTTGTCAAGACATTCGCACCAGGCGTCTGGCACTGCGTTTTTGACGTTCATGTTTACAAGATCTAGCTATATTGTGTATCATGCTTATTATCCCAACAATATCGAGTACATAGAATTTCAGATTCATCCATCATGATGTCATGCGCCCCTATCACACACGCCCCGAGTCCCTGCCCCAGTCATGGTATTCTAGGTAAAGTAAAATACAGTTCAGTATCGCGTCCTATCGTCTATTGTCGTCGGAACTTTTGAGGGATGTTGGCCTCGACGATGGAGAGCTTCTGCATTGCTTCGAGGCGTTCCTGGGCATCCTCCATCTCGTCGTGTTTCTTAAAATGCTCAATGTCTTCGGGATGTGTCAGGTCCTCGAGCTTGGTGTTGTCGTCGTGGTATTTCTCCCAATGGTGGATCTCATACTCGTACTCGTCATCGCCGTGGTGGCCGGGGCCGGTGTTAAGGTCGGGGAGTGTCTTTCCAGACTTAATAAAGTCCGTCCACTCCTGGCGACTGACAGAGGAGTCACCGTCCTTATCGAGAAGGCCCAGCAGAACATCGCGGACCTCGTCCTTCTTCTTCTCGTCCATGCCCTTGTTTGATTCATCGAAGAGACCGTACGTTCGCATCAACTCAGCAGCTTGCCACCAGCCGTCGCTGTTGTAATCGTGGAGGGTGAAGAAGGAGTCGGCGTCCCAGCCTTGCACATGATGCTCCTCTGGAAGTGTTGCGTCAGTAATTTTGTAGCGCAATTCAGAGGGAACAGGAGAGTAACATACCCGCCATATGTTTGGTCATCCAGTCTGCATTGGCATCAACGACAGGCTTCTGTGAGTGAGCGCCGCCATGAGCAAAGACGGTGGTCGCAAAAGCGACACTGAGCAAGACACCAGTGCGCATTGTATTGTAGACCTGGCGCGAGAAATGCAGAAGAGGAGCAAGAAGTCTAGACTTGTGCGATGCAGTTGTAACAAGGCAATTGACGCTGGGAGAGGCCGACTTTAAAGGAGTGAAGTTCCAATCTGAAAGGACAGGACCTAAGGTAGCAACGACTCAAGCGAACGTGGTCCCTATTGATCTGGAATTGGAGGTGGGCTGCCAGGGGTCCGGAAGCGCTGAGCCACTAAAAGCTTATCTCCCAGGTACAACGTTATGGCTGTTGGACGGCCTCAATACTGAGTATCTATAACTTTGGCTGGACCGTTCTTTGAACTCTGGAGGTATGTAAATTAACTTTTATATTCTCCGTGGTCGATCTAGAACAGGCACATACTTTGCGTAAGATCGATGCCATAACTAGGCCTTTGGTTGGACTCTATTGAACTTCCCCGAATCCCTACAAACTCATCTCTATTCCTTGTCGTACCGAGGGATCTACAAGCAATATTTGGTGGGGGATTCTAATTAAGCATCGTCCATATCCCGTGATTTGGCGTCAGAAATAAACCACTGTCCAACGCGTCTCCATACCAACCGCGTTCTCCATCTAAATATTGACTACTTGATCTCACAAGCTACATCAAACCTCGCGGCTACGAGAACTTCAGATCATCAACATGAGTCGTCAAATTGAACAAGCATTGCTCTCATTAATGCCAACATATGGCTCTGATCTACCTCCAGCTCTCGTGGAACTTGCAGGTTCTTTGCTTGCCCAGTCTCGGCATCAAGCAAGTACCCTGAAGGCAGATGAAGAGATTGCTAGAACATATGCTTGCGCAAACATTGCGTGTGATCGGTATGTGTTATGAGATGACTTTGAGATATGAGACTGACAATAACAGCCTAAAAATTACTCTTGATCTTCCACCTATCGAACCAAGACCGCCAATTCCTCCTCGTATCTACAAGCGTCTCTACACTCATCTTGATAACATTCTGCGCGGCAGCTCAACTCCTACAAGAGCTACTCCAGGACGAACAAGAACACCAGGTTCAAGATTTCGTGATGCCGATAATCCACCCTCACGACCACTACCGTCAAGAGCAACGCCAACAAAAGAACAAAGTTTAGCACAATTCAGGACACCAACAAAGGGGGCTACCGGTACACCGACAAAATCTACTCGCAAGAAGGAAGCTTTCGCCGGAGTCAATCTCCATGCATGGATTCATCCTACCACAAGATGGGTTTGTGCAGAAACTGACCACAAGAAGCTGGCTCCTACAATTTTGGCTGGCATGGAGAACATCATAACACCTGCGGGTCGACGAACAGATGACGAGTGGGTTCTGCAGAATCTCACGGCTTTGTTTGCCGCCATCTACTTTTTCGTAACTATGCGGGTCAAAGCTCTTGCTTCTGGCGAAGGTATTGACAGGGAAGGATATGTCCCTCTTCGAAAAGAGATCCTTGCTCTTCTCGCCAGAGCACGAAATGAAGTAACAGTTAAGGATCTGGCGGAAGAGGATGCCTGGGAAGGCTGGTCGACCGTCAAATCTAAGGATTTCGATGATGCGGTTGCCAAAGTCAACGAACGAGCATGGCTCACGGGTGACTGGTATCAAGGAATAGCAGATGTCGTCAAGCTGTCCCAAAGAAGCCATCTCGAGGATGTCGAGATGCAGGATGAGGAGACGATTCCAAAGATGCAAATCAAAAAGGCGGACACCATGTTTCAAGACAAGTACGACTTTCTTAGCGAGGCGAAACGGACAAAGTACAGTCACTGGAAGGAAGATATGTTCGCCAAAATTGCTCTATCGACAACTCAAGGTGCTGCCATGGAGGTAGATACATAGTGAAGTGCTAAGCTCTGCTTTTCACCCAAGAATTATAAACACGAACTATCCTCTTCGTTTCCTAAACATCGAAGATCCATCAAAATCATTGTCTATTCAACAAGAATCCATTTACTGAGAGGATCGAGCTCGCTTCTGGAAGCCTCCGTTCTGACCGTCGCCACCACCAAAGCCTTGGCCAGGGCCAGCGACGAAGGTTGGGATAGCACCTCCGGACTGGTTTCCGCTGCCGCTACCGCTACCGGCTCCTGGAGTCTGAACAGGAGTCTCAGGGGTGTTGTTGTTACCGCCACCGAGGCCAGCACCGGGAGTAGGGGTAGTGACGGCACCATTACCACCGCCGAAACCGTTACCAGGTCCAGCGACGAAGGTGGGAATGGTACCGCTGGGCTGAGTCTGATCACCGCCATTTCCGCTGTCGTTTCCACTGCCGTTTCCACTTCCGCTATCGGGTTGAGTAAGGTCACCTCCGGCTGAGTTTCCACTGCCGGGTGTCTGGACGGGAGTGTCAGGGCTGCCAGAGTTGCCGCTCTCACCGAAACCATTGCCGGGTCCAGCAACGAAAGTAGGAATGGTACCACTAGGCTGGCTTCCACCTAGACCACCGCCAGGCTGGTTTCCGGTACCAGGAGTCTGAATGGGAGTGCTAGGGGTGCCAGGGCTGTTACCATCACCGAAACCGTTTCCTGGTCCAGCAACGAAAGTTGGGATGACACCGCTGGGAGCAGTGCCTGGGCCCTCGAGCCCACTGCCTGGGGTAGGGACAAGAGTGGGAGCGACAGGAGCCTCAGTGGCACCGCCGTTTCCTCCATTGCCTCCCTCGCCGAAACCGTTACCAGGTCCGGCAGAGAAGGTAGGGATGGCACCGCTAGGCTGGCTTCCACTGAGGCCGCCACCGTTTCCACCCTGAGAGTTACCACTGCCTCCAGAGCTTGAAGGCGAGTCTTGGTTGCGAGATCGACCACGACCTCGGAAGGATGCGCCTTGTACACTACCTCCGGTGCCCGGAGTTTGAATGGGAGCGGGGACAGAAGCACCACCGCCGGTGTTGCCATCATTTCCTCCAGGCAGACCACCGCTTGGAGCTGCAGCAGGGGGAGTGTTGGTGTTAGCTCCACCACCGAAGAAGCCACCTCCGTTACCAGTGTTGGCGCCTCCGTTACCTCCTCCGAAGAAGTTTCCAAGGCCGGGAAAGCCGCCACCGCCAAAGAAGCCGCCGCCAGTGCCTGGAGTGGTAGCAGGGGCATCGTTCCCACTGCCGCTGCCGGGGAAGCTGAAGCCACTGCCAGGGGTTGGGATAGCACCTCCGCTACCACCTCCTAGACTGGGAAGGCCGGAAGGAATGAGGCCAGAGCCGCCGCTGGGAAGGGCAGTAGGGAGAGAACCGCCGAGGCCAGCACCGGGTGTTTGGGCATCGCCACCGTTGCCAAACTGTGGGCGAGGTCGGGCCATGGCCGGAGAAGAAAGGGCCAAAGCCAAAGTAACAAGGTTAAGGACAGCCATTTTGATCTTGAAAGAAGGATATAATGTACTTGAAGGAAAGAGAAAAGAGGGAATAGGTCGTGGGAAAAGGACTGACCACAGATGCCTGCAACTGAAAGTCTAGTGATGAAAGAAAAGAGCGAGGGAAAGTGGCGATGGAGAGAATCAGAAGCTGAGCAGAAACTTCAGAGAAACGGACGTTTATATACGATGTGCCTCGAAACTAAAACATGGGATGGTCGTTAAAGTCTGTCAACTAATTACTCCTATTACCGAACGTAACCCAGAACCCGCGTAGACGCTCCATATTGACGCCAGCGAATCCCAGCTCCGATGGCAAGCTGATGGTTTCAAGATCCAGAGGCTCTGACAAACACAAGCAGGGAGTTGATCAACGACGATTGGATCCCCTGGCGATCTCTGCAAGGGACAAGGGGTAAACTTTTGACTGCATTAGTGGAAAGATCTGATGGATTGAGTTTGTTAGTCTGCAGGAAAAAAAGGCCGATGGATAAGGCTAACAAGCTCAAGTTTCGTGTTTAGAGACCTTGTCGATAATCGATATATCGGGGGCCGATGTGGGCGTCTATCCGTGAGTCTTGGGCTTTATTGGCAATTAATGTTGAAGATGACGCGGCTCATGTTTATCAATCACGTTTTTGGGGAATGTTTCCTTGCTGTTGCATGGATTGAAGCTCCGTTGATCAAGGGTTTCTCCGTCGTTGGGTGTTTCAGGATCTTTCAAGGGGGTATTTTGATGTTTGAGTCAGGATTTTGGTTTCGACTAGAGCCGTACTCCGAAACTTGAGTCTCCATATATTTAGTCGACGGACATGTTTAAGTCAAACGAAACGACATATAGATCATACCATCCCTTGAGGTAATGGGGGATCGAGAGATGGGCGTTGGTGGATTATTGCGTTTTGGTGATGGTGTGGCGGAGAATTCCAGAAGTTTAAAGTTCTCCTGATGGTGTCATTTGGTGATCTTTGTTTGAATCAAGGTTATAGTTATCGGCAGTAATAACGGCATGTGAACAAGGGCAATGATCAGCTTGTCCCTTGAGAACAGTTTGCTCGTTGTTGATAGATCTATTGTGTATACAGTGTCGTGAACAGTAAGTAATATCAGATTGATGGCCTCGAGGCGGAACACGGGGAGAACCAAGATAGTGGAAAACGGCTATCACAGCGAGAGAAAAGGACGGAAAACACGTGGGAATATCTAATACGGGAAGAAAGAGAAACAATATCTGCCTCGAGTTGGCAAACAAACATCACATCTCGCTCGATCATGATGCGATTAGTAGACAGTTCAGTTTCATCGGGACTCACCACATCCAAGTTTCTGGATTCGCGGAGGTTACCGCCTGAGTTAAGAGTTGCGACGATCTTGGGCCAAGCTTTGGTGAAAATACGTCGCTGTTTGGCGGTTCAACTCGACTAGCTTGATGGGTATAGGAAGTTTGTCTTATGTTCAGATACAGGCTTAGTGCAGCAAATATCACGAATTACCACCTGAACACTTAGAGGTAAGGAAGATGGAAGTTGGAAACAGAAAGCAACGAGTATAGTAGAAGGCTCGTAAATGATGTGAGTATTCGGAAGCGCTGTGATATGAGCTGAAATGCGAGTGTCTACACATGAGGCCCAGTGTCGTGTGTGGTATAACAGAGCTGAGCTATACTCCCCCCTGACAGACAATCAGCCCAGTTTCCCAGGAACAAAGGGGTGCCCAGCACTCAGCCCTCCATCTACTGCCCATGCCTGTCCATTAACATAGCTACTCTCATCACTTCCCAAGAAGAGCGCAACGCGAGCGATCTCATCAGCATGGCCGCCTCTCTTCATAGGGTTCAGCTGTCCAATCTTCTTCTCACTTCCACGAGCCCTCGCTGCTTCATAAACAGGCGCCGTCATGCCAGTCTCGATGAGACCTGGGCAGATGGCGTTCATACGTACGCCTGTTCCAGCGAGTTGGTATGATATCGTCTGAGCGAGAGACACCACGGCTGCTTTGGAGGCTGAGTATGGTGTGGATCCGGCATTGGAGCGAATTCCTGCAACAGACGCTGTACCGATGATACTGCCGCTGGCTTGAGGCTTGTCGGCAGAGGTTTGCATCATAGCTGGAGCCGCGTACTTGGCAGCTAGAAAGACACTGCAATATAATTTAGATGATACCGATCCAGTGTATTATGTGGGGAAATTCGTATACCTTGACGTGTTGGTGTTGAGTATCGACATAAACTCATCTTTGCTGAAATCAGAGAACAGCGTGGTCCGACCAACGACTCCAGCATTAGCAAAGAAGACGTCCAAGCGACCGTAGCGCTGGATCGCGTCATCGACTACCTCCTTGACCTTGTCCTCATCCGCGGCATCGAAACGCCTGGTGTGAACTTCCACGTTGGGAAACGCAGCGTTGATCTCCTTTTTATGAGACTCAAGGTGCGTATCGTCAAAGTCGCAGAGATACAATGCACGAGCACCGCTTTCAGCATATTGATGCGCTGTAGCACGACCAATACCCAGGGGTGAGTTTGTACCTGCACCGAGTCAGCAGTGTTCATTAGAGTAGTTCTCGCGTTGTAATACCTGTTATGATGACGACTTTGCCCTCGACGCGGAGCTTACTTGAACCCGGAGCTACCTTGTTGATAGGTGGAAGAAGTTGGTTGCCAATGGCATTGATACGACTCTTCGCCTTGTCAGACATGGCGTGAGTGTGTCTATCTGCAACTGTGGTATTATGTCAAGTAGATTGAGATTACGAAAAAGGCGGGTTTTGATTCTATTAATGTCTCTATCATGGAGCCGAGGCCTGGAGCTGTAGTATCTGGGGTATGTCCCTGTTTGGGTAAGATTTAAAGATGCTTTCCCCGGCTAAAGTGGGCCCATGAGCGGAGTCCACACCGGGGCCGAGGCTCGGGGAACATATTCACGTCTTCCGGACTTTGCTTCCGCTGAGTCACGTGTATTCTTACATATATTCTTATACAATGTTCATTACTCATACTGCTTAATGTAATCACGATAGTTACACAAAGCCTACTCAACTTCAACAACATCATAAATAGGAACCATCTCCAAAAGCGTCGCCTCCAACATCTCCTTCTGCTCCTGAAGAAACTCCCTCACGGCATCGGGGTTGAACTTGATACCCGCAGCTTGTAGCTCACGAAGCTTCTTTGCGTGTTCTCGAAATCGTATCTCAAGAACATCTGCTCGGTAGGTGCAGTAGTCATACACAAGCTCTGACTGGTTACTTATGGGTCGGGAACCCGTGAGGACCATCTCGTCCTTGACAAAGGGAGACTTGGGACGGAATGCTGTGATAAAGGAGATTCTTTCTTTGCCAATTGCCTTGAGTGCGGCGTGTTGCACGTAGCGACCTTGGAGAATCACCGCAGTGCCCTAGAAAGTATTAGTTTATACGTCCGTGTTGAGTGACCCTGTAACTCACCATGGTTGGACCGCGAACTTTGAGAACTTCACCGTCACCTTTGAGGACTGCAGTCTCGCCACCCTTCATATCCGAACAGTCTGAAAGCATCGTAACACAAACGAACGGAAAGCTATCATAGTGCCAGGAAAAGCCAACGTTGTCGCTAGCTCCCTTCTTCTCGTCCTCGCAGTCGCTGAAGAGCAGGTTGCAATGGCCGATCTCATACTCAAATGCGTGAACTAGATCAATACCAGCCACTTTTGAAACAGCTTGCTGCACTTCGGGACTCTTCCAAAGAGCGTGAGCAAAGGGTGCTTGTCTGTAAGATTTTAGCTAAATCACCTATCATTGCGTCTGGAGTGATGTACTTTTGAGTATATCCTCGAATCTGATTCTTCGTAAAAGTCGAAGCAAACTGACACGTCCTAAGAACATCTTCGCTGAGAAGTTCACGTCGGACTTGCTTCACGGCAGCTTCAGGGAAAAGAGAGAAAGGGTCCGAGGCAGCGATGGGGGAGACGCCCTGATTCTCGTATCCCCATTCCTTCATGGTATAAGTCCGCTTGGGAAACTCAAAGTTTACATGCTTCTTGGCGTCGAACTCTTCGATGGGTGTGACCTGAGCTGTATCGATGACATCTTGTGGGATCTTGTTGGTAGGTCGGAAAGGGGCTTTGTTGGTTGGGCCAATAACGAAGGGTGCTGGTTTTCGGACCGGAAGGGTGGCAGGTGTGTTGTAGATGACTGAAGGCATAGTAACTAGAATTTATAGAGATTCTATACTCGTCTTTAGTGTAGATGAAGTCCCAGTCGAGATGGATGTCTGTATTGTCCTAAATTGTAGAGTTCGAGATAAGAAGGGCAAGACAAAAAGGAGGTCCAACGTTTTATATCTTAGATACTCCTGGCTGGCCTGCCCTGCATCTGACTACACCAGATACACTAGGTTGTCCAATGAAAGGGGTGATCCCTATCATGCATGTATCCTTGAGGGGAAAGGTGTATATCGAGCTTCATTCTTTGGTCAAATGATTATGAACTTCATTAGTCCATGCCAAATACCGATGCAAGAAGGGGGAAGAAGCATGCCAATCGTTAAACCAATCACCCAAAATAGACTTATACCTCGGATCTCGACCTTATAGCGCTTCTGTTACTTCTGGGGTTCATGCTTCTATTGCACCGCCTTGTCGAGTTTGGTGATAGTTCGGTTCAGCTGGTGTGTAGGTCGGATATAGTTCCCGCGGCCAGGGAACCTGGTCTCCGGTTGAAGTTAGATAACGGCAAATATTATCATTAACATGAGTCCATGTTATATCAGACTTGAGTTTTGTGCATATGCTATGCAAAAGGCGAGGAGTTGGCAGTTACCATACTACCCGGGGAGTATAAAGAAAACAACACTGATCAAGAAGACGACAGCAACAATACAAGAGACGTAAGGACTGATAAAGCATGGATCTTTTTTAAGAATAGACCCTGTGGCTGCTATCCAGATAATCACTTCCAAGTCATTCCCCATCATTCACAAACATCCGGTCACCATTGTGTAGTCAAAACAACAGCCTATTTTAATCTTTGGGAAACTAGTTGAAACCCAAAATTACAAGTGTAGTAGCTCAATTTCTGCATACCAGACATTGATACCACACCCCCGAGCATTTCAGTATGAGGCTCATGTGACAACTCTTTGCTTTCGTATTTCTTAACAACATTAACCTACATGCACTGACTCAATGGGGATTTCATCTCTCCATAAAGCTCTTCACTCGTGTGACTTCCTCGCCATGCTTCTTGACTTGTACGAGAAACACCTAAAGGGTTGGAGGTGTAAATGACGTGAATTGTGATATCTATCCCCTTTGCTGTCTTGCCGTGATCGTGTGACACCTTATCTCGGCAATATAGTTCCGTGTTGTTGGCTAGCTTTCTTACATCTATCATTGCAGATGCCCTTGTTCAAGCTAAGAAACTGCCTCCATGAAAAGTAAGCAAGGCGTATGCTTGTTAACATACATCGACACCCCGTACAAAGTCTGTTCAAAGATAACTGCATGGCATAGTAAATCATATAGAGATATGATATATTATACTGCCGATTGTCAGCTACTTTTCTCTTATCATCTGGTACAGCATAAGTTATCATCAGCATCCTCATGACGCTTCCACTTGTATGTATGTCGATAGCTTCACATCCGGTCCCCTTCACTTTGATTCTCATGCAAGACTTGCAAAGAGGTTTCCTTGGGAGGAATGGTGCACGGCTGAGGTAGTATCTTGATAGTTGATCCCGAGCTCACTAGCCATCAGACGGTACACTCTGTATCTAGGCTCGGCTTCGATTCCGATCGGCTCTGAACCCCGAAATGCTATCGTGAGTCCCAACTTTCGAAGACCCGAATCTAATTCTTGGGGTAAAGAGGGGGATAAATGTTGGAGAAGGACTCCAACAGATTTGAGTTCGGTTACTGACCCCGATGACATGATAAGTTGACCCAGGGGACGATGCTTGATACAAAAGTACTTTGTTTGGAGAAAGGCGGCTTAATAACGGCGCGTTCGGTTACCATTTCCTCCTCAAACATGACAGCGTGGCTTTCCCAACTTTAATGGAACGTTAGAGAATAGTGTGTTTGGTATCGGATCTGGTCAATGGCGTCAAAGATATAAACGAGCTACGAGCTTTCCGACCCTTTACAGAGCGAGATGCCGCCTCTGAGCAATACTCAAGCAAAACCCGCATTCTCTCCTATTCCCATCAACATTTAAATTCTAGTGATATAGACATGAGTGTAAAGAAATGGCTCGGCGAAGCTGATTTTTGGCTCTGGATTGTCAAGGTCGTTCTCTTCATCACCTTCATCACAATGGTCGACGGTAATTCCCAACGCGATGCATAGAGCAATCCAGGCCTTTTCGTAGAGCGCATGACAGACGGGTATCTTGGAAGGCTCCAGGGGTTTATCGGCTCCCTTTGGATCGTAGCTTTCACCCTGATTTGGCCCTAAGTATGTCTCTATAATCGCTGAAGATACCAAATTGCCGCGCGTTTGTCTCAAGAGTGCCTTCAAACCCACATTTATCCGGTTCGGTATTTTTCTATCCTTTCATCTCTCTGTGTTGGTATCATTCTCCCTTACAATAACCCTACCCTCGTGGTGGGTATTGCCACTGAAGGTAATGGTGTTGGAATAGGAGATGCTTCCCCTTTATGAACGGACTTGAGGAAACACATTGATTCGTAACTGTGTAATCATTGCTTCATCTATAGGCTGGACTTTTAAAAGGAAAACAGGAAAGGAGGACCATATCACGCGCTACCTCTCAGCAGCAGTCTCGGCCTCCTTTCCCTCAGCCTCCTTCTTTTCCTCCTCCTGCTCCCCGTAGTTCTCCAACTTCATGTCCTTGAGACCAAGCTCCTCCTCTTCCTCATCTGTGCGGGTATAACTCTCACGGTGAATCTTGGGGTCGGGAGCAGGGGGGTCTACAAGAGGCTGAACGTAGCTGCTGGCGAAGGGGTCGGTAAGGACAATTGTGAAGGGCTTCTCGCCACGGATGGCGGCGTCAAGACCGTCAAAGAAGGCGGTCCACTGAGACTTCTCGTCGCTGGCAAGGGAGTCACCACCCTGGCCCGAGCCGTCGGCCTCGAAGATCTGAGAGTGAAGATCACCCCGGACCTGGGTCAGGAGACCTTCAACAGTGGTGAAGCGACCACCCAGGGTACCGGGGTTGACCTGGAGCTTAAGCTCGGGGCACTCGAGGCCACAAGTCTCACTCTTGAGAATATCGCGTGCCAAGTCGGCACCGTCGCTGACTTCGAGGATGATCTTCTCGCCCTTCTCAGGAATCTCACCACCTGTCTTGACATCGTTGGAGCGGTAGCCGCAGTCGTCACAGACAGTGGACATGAGAACAACCTGCTTGAAGTGGGGAATATCGACCATCTTCATGTGTGTAGTGCAAGGATGCATGCAGCCAGGGCATGTCGCGGGGAAACTGTAGACTTCGTTGGGGATGATTTCGCCATCAGCAGTCAAGCCAGGGTTTTGTGGTTGCTGAGCGTTGGCATCGGAGTCGGAGAGACCAAGAGCGGCGTTCTGTTCAGCAGTTCGGGCATATTCGTGCTTCTCCCACTTTCCAACACCATCCTTGAGATCGGGGGCAATGAACGAGTTTCCGGCAGGGTCATCGACCCAGACACGGAAGGGAAAGGCGTCGCCCAACAACATGGCACGACCCTTGGCGATAATCTCAGCAACCTTAACATACACTTCAGGAGCCTGCTCCTTTCGCGCCTCTTGTCCCATCTCTAGATCCTCGATGACAGTGGTCAGGAGACCCTCGACATTAGTAAGCTGGCCACGGCCAGCAGGAATCTCGAGATCCAGCTCGATGAACTTGACGGTAGAGGTATCGGACTTGACAACCTGTCGCGAGAAGTCGGCGATGTTTGTCAAACGCAGCTCGTAGTGTGTTCCCTTGGGCTGGACGGTTCCGGCAGCCTGGATCTCGTTGTTCTGGGTATGGCAGTGCTCGCAGGAGAAAGACATGATAACGACTTCGCGGAAGTAGGGGATCGCAGTGAGAAGAAGTCTGGTGACACCCTATACAGTTCTGTTAGCTAGATTCCTATGCGACTTATTCGATTATGTGTCGACTCACATTCTTGCCGCAGTTCATGCAAAGAGACTCAATCTCTTCGACAGCGCGCTCGTCGTCGTCGGCATTTTGGGCATCAACAGCAGCAGGCGCAAGTTTGTTGACCTTGTCACCGATGCTCTGGAAGAACTCCTCGGGGGTCTGCTTGGTTGTGTCTTCGGTAGCCATTTTCAATTTTTTGTCTGCTGGATTCGAATCTTGAAAATCCAATCGTCTTTTGGTGGTTGAATCCATGGAGGGGTCATGAAATTTTCGGAGGGGCAAGCCCAGTTATGTCATGGGGTCCAGGGTGCAAACTTTGGAGGCGGGCATGCACTAGAACGTTCGGGACACGCCTGCGGCGATGACTCAGGATAGCGGGCCTAGATTCATCCGATAGGCCTGCACTCAACTATCATGAGATGGATAGAAGTCATGATGACAAGGCGTCCACTGATAAGTTCTCATTTCATAAAGTGAGAAAGACTGAGTCGGTTCGTTGTTTGTTGCTTTTGTCCTGAAAGCAAGGCTTGTAACCCGGCCTTTCGGTTTTTAGCTCTTTTCTTGCTGCTAGCATTCGATGTTTGTTTGGGCTGCTCAACAGGTGTAGAAACTTTCTTGACTTTTGACTGTGCTGTTTTTCGCCTCACAGCTGGCCCTGGAGGCGGCATAACGATCTTGGTGTCTCGTTGGCAGTTGTCGCAGTGCAAAATCTTGCAGGGTCCCCGGAGATCTTCTGTTGGTTTAGGGGTCAAGTTGCCGCTTGACTTTTTACTTTTAGCCTTCCTCCTCTGAAGACTTTTTCGAGCATCCAACTTCAGTGTTGCTTCTTGACCTGGGATCATGATAATTCCGCAGCCTCCACATACGTGTTGTCGCTGAACATCCGAAAGTGTTATGCCATGTTGTTGAAGAAGATGACCGCGTTGGCTCATGAGATGAGCAGAAGTCTCTGGGGCCGTGGCCCGTAGGAGATGTGCTGCATCCGTGAGAAAATCGATAGTTCCTGGAAGTTCTGATACCGCCATTTTGCAAATCTGGGGCCTCAGAATCTTTTGATTGTTGAAGTTGATTCGAGATTGAAGCTCAGGTCACTTGAAAGAACCTTTGTGGACAACCTGAGGTAGTAGGAGACATGATGGTGAAAGTGGGTCTGATAAGATAAATTATGGGGATATGATTGGTCAAGTTGTTGACGACCTACAAATTAGGCAGGGCATAATTAACCAACAACTCATATCTTTCACATTCGAAGCTGGTTTGCTTATGACTGTATTGTAGGGAATCTTACTCCTCGGGCTTGCTCGAATGCATCTCATTTATATGGCTTTTTTATCCTATCCGAATAACACAACATCTCTGCCCCGACGCTCCAAAACACCAAACAGCTCAACCCAACACCTACACATATCGAACTTAAAGTCATCTCAAGAGCGACGGACTTCCCACTTGACATCGTTGATGCTCACTTCCTCGTTAGACTTCTCGTCATATTCGAACCACTCGCCTTCCTCCAAGTCGATACCTGTGAACTTGGTCCCCGTCTCGGCGCCTTCCGCCAACCATTCACCCTAACAGTTCGTTAATATGCTCTCCAACTAGTTGGTTATTCACATACCTCAGCCTTGAACTCAGTGAACTCGAGACCTCTGCAGTCGAACTCGAGAATCTTTTGAGGCTTGGCTGGTTCAGTTTGCTCATAAGGGAAAGGTCCAGCCTTGACAGAGGCTGACGACTCTCGCTTTGCATAATATTACTAAGATGAAAATAACTCGATATCAAATAACTTACCTTGCAGTTCTTGCACTTCCATACAAAGTTGGCCTCTCCTCGACTTCCACTCATCTCATTGGTCTCCTTCATAAGGTATTAGTATACCGTTTTCAACCTGGCGAGCCATTACGTACAAACCGGTTGACTCCAACATGGTTTGCATGAGTCTCTCGACAAGAAGTACACTGAACCTTGAACATGTACCAAAAAGGGTTGTCTTGAGTGTCGTCGGGGCGCAAGTTTGTGACCCTGTCATATTGGAATTGCCCCTCACGTCAGTAAAGCTCGTTTGAGTTGGTAAAAAGCTTTTGGTACATACCCTTGCAAGTCAGCTGTGAGATATAGCGCAAACATGTTGTGAAATGCGAAAAGGAACCGAGTTGATAGGTTTTGCGGATGGGTATGAAATCCTCTGACGTTGGAGGCTTTAGAAGCAAAATACAGCCGTTTCAAAGAGCTCCGGCGTCGATGAACGTCTAGTGGGATGTGGTGGGGTGTGACGATAGCGCATTCCAGGTGCACCCGCGGTAAACCCCACGTGACTTCAATAATCGAATGATCTGTGACTGGCCAATTTCTTGGTTGATGATGGCTCCATGAAACACCTCAATTGAACGATTGCCGACAGCAACGACCCTCAATCGCTTCAGAGCGATGTCCTGAGCTTCAGACCGCCACCTAAAATGCAGGCTTTGTGGTCGAGGGCCGGCCAGGTCCATCGCTGCGGATGTCGCGCCTGCGAATCCGTCGTGAGCTCCCTCGGCCGGCGAGTGACAACCGCGGCTCGACCACGAAAAGTCACCTTTGCCGATATCTTCACAGCATGCTACAGCTCCATGTTTGCGACTGCCGCCATCGTTGATGCCGTACGAAAGGAGGACCGAAGGCAGGAATTGGACCGGCAATTGGAGGAAACGAGGCGTGAATTGGCACAGCTGCAACTCCGGAACCTCGAAGCAAGCCAGACGACGAATGGCCTTGACTCCGCCCAGAACGAAGTGACTCTACACCAGATGGATCAATTATGGGGGGCCATCAAGAGTCTGTACACAAACCGACCATATATGAAGGAGATTTACAGACCTGCTACCATCCGAATCGACGAATTCTTGAACCGAGCACATACCGAGGAATACGAGTGCCCCAACCAAGCAACGATGGATGCTCTTAGGCGTAGGGACTACAATCACCTTGAGCAAGAGATTATCCGCGAAGAAACAGACGTTAGCATCCGTCAAAGAAGCCCGTTAAATACCAAACAGCTCCACAATGCCGGACGAACGCTCAGTCATCTCGTTCAACAGTTACTCAAACGCGCCAATGCCCATGACAAGTCGGATCTGCCGAGCCCCAGCTTCGATGAAGCCATGCAACTGGCAAATGATAAGACTTCTTTCAGATATCTCGTGGAGAATGATCCTGAGAGGGTGATAAAGAACCGGGTCGATCTGAACTCTGATCTCCGCAAAGTCGTCGGCTCATCACTGAGCCTCAAGGAGAAGGTGGGTAGAGTGTGTTATAATCTGCTTGTATCTGCATATCCAGCCGATATGCACACGTACAACACGTTGATCGTTGCTTTTGATAAACATGGTTACAAGTATCTGTCAGAGCCAGTGGTCAACTCCTTCTACTACTACCGCCGACTAAGACCAACTCCATCAACATTTGTCGCCATCTTGAATCACTACAAAAATTCAGGCAACCATGGTCGCTTCTTGCGCAGTCTTGCAAGTCTCGCTGGTCTCGATGGCGAGACGGGTGCCAAACTGAGACGAAGACTGGTGGACGAAACATATGATGGAGCAGTTGACGAAAGGCGCAAGAGACACAAGGTTCAGACATGGACCCAGACGGGTGACTACTTCTGGGAGCATGCGCCACTGGACAAGCCTCTCATCGAGGCTGCTATTCAAGGCCTCCTACACATGAAGCTCTTTGATCAGGCTGCTGAGTTCTTCGTGACGTGCATGAAGGCCAAGGTCGTGCTCAGCACGCATGTGATCAGGCAGTTATTTGATGAGTGTATAGTGGCTCTTGACTGGAGATCTGCTGTGCGCCTCATCCAAGGTTTCACTGACTGTTCAGTTACATGGCCTTCCATGCTTCTTGGAAGGGATCAAGACACTTCTTACCTGATCAGTCGGGTGCGTGTTCTTCTCGACCTAGCTGGTCTTCAAGATGCAAGCGGCGAAGTGCCCAAATCTACCCTCGACAATTTGTCTATATCACATTACCGTTTCTGCAAGTTCCTGAGTGATCTGGCAAGCGCAGACTCGACATCTCAAATCGATATGCAAGGGTCAAGTGCACAGACTCGGGATTCGGCTTCAGACCCTGTCAGCGCCTCAAAACGAAGACTACTCCAGATCGAAGCGCTTTGGAAAGAACAAGACTTGGTTGAAAAGACGACACGCTCCATCGAGAGCAAACTACTCTATCCTGAATTTTCACCTGAGTTTCGCATGTCAATGGCCTTCCACATTGGAAACGCCGCGGCGGATCAAACAGTGGAGTTGGATGGGGAGATCATGGAAGTTATGTCACAGCTTCCTCTTTCAGAACGAGTGGAGAGAGGTATTACGGAATGCAAGTCCTTTCAAGATTCAAATATTAGCCGCGCTGAGAGCGGCAATATCGTTCAAGAAGTGCAAGAATTAAGGCAAGATACATCAGAGGAGCAAGGTAAGGAACAAGCCGGGAGGCTTTTACGAGATGAGGAGCTGGATATAATCTCGGCTCAAAAGGCGATACCGGTTAAGCGGATGAATGCGAATGCAGCAGAGCGCACTCTGAGAGCAAGGCCAATGCGGCTAACGGCATGGCCTGTGACAGAGCAGCAAGTTGGATATTTGCAGAGGGCGAGTTTTGGTTAGGGATTGAAAGCTATGAGCCGCATGTAACTTACTTTTGATCGTCTAACTTACATGCATTCCTTTTGTTTGTTGTATTGTATTGCACCAGCATATTTAGAACCTGCATCAGCATAGAACATGAATTATAAACGTACCATGACTTTATCAGCAAGACGTACTGTTTGAGAAGCTTATCATTCCCAGCACTTAACTTAGTATGTCGTCTTATCATAAGCTTGCTTGGTGTGCTTGGTCTTGTCGCAGTGACCTCGTCGGCCACGCCCGAGTTGACAATGCGTGAGTGTGCAGCCAAAAACGCCGCCACTAAGCGTTTCCGTTCGTCATCGTGGGCAAACCCCTGGTCATGAGTTGACAATTGGTGTTTGTAGCACAGTATCTAACACTCATTGAGAAAAGAGTCCCAGCCAACAATGGCGGTCTGCAACCTTAACTGCAGTCTATAGTAGGTTTCCTCGTCAGCTGACACTGTATTCATTTCCAGCCGCATTGTCCGTCCCTGGAACTTGACAGGTTCCAAGGGGTCACGATGCGACCGCTTCAGTGGGTGCGCCGTGAATCGTATCGTCCAGTCACGAGGCCGTAAGGGGTCCACGGGGCCAATTGGATTGGCGGGCTCGACTCCATTTTCTTAGGGGTCCTGGTGCAGCCTGGTACTGCCCAGGTACAGCAGCAGGGCCAGTACGAGGCGGTACTTGGAGCTACCCCAATATGTCAGTGCGACAAGCAGGTACCTTTTCCCCCACATTGGATGGATCACATCAAATCCATGGATCCATCATCTATCGGATCGACGAATGTTGTTTCAAGAAATCAGTCTGGTCTTGTTCTTTTTTTGTTTCTAGGCTTTGTTCTTACGATTCTGCTTGTGTGAGCGAGCGCGCGAGCGAGTGAGAATTGGATCCAGTCAGTCCCAGTCATTTCTCCATAACATATCTCCAGTAGCTTCGTCATTCCTCTCTTTTTTTCTTTCTTTCTCTCTTCCTCTTCTTCGACATATCTCTGTCATACCCTCCATCTTGTTGTCTCGAGGAGCTTTGAGTTATACGTCACTTGCTCTGTCACCTCTTGGTCAACTCAAGTCACTGGTTACTCTTGATTGTGCACTGCGCGCAACTTACTTTGACGTCACTGGCCTGCGAGGATAAGCATTTGTGTTGCATTTGACCGGGAAAGACGAAAAAAACCTTTTATCAGCTTGGTTGCAGGCACCGTTTCTGTGATTGCGACAACTATAAACTGTCGAAACGCGGTGTGCTGTGAAAGCAAGCTATTCTACACCAAACACAACCTTTCGACGCTACGGTCGCGTTACCTCCCCGTCGATTTTTCTTATCTTCTTTGTTACTCCGATTAGCGATTTACACAGCATGAAATTCGGAAGAAAGTGAGTACTAATGCAACGTGCGCTCTTCTTGACACAATCGACTCACTGCTCTCACTAGTCTACCGCGCAACCAGGTCCCCGAGTGGGCAGGCTCGTATATCAACTACAAGGGCCTCAAGAAGCTTGTAAAAGCAGCAGCAGAGAAAGCAAGGAATGGAGAAAAGGTGGATCCTGCAGGTGGGCGGCTTTGACGACTCTTGGTGTCGCACACTGAGCCTCTCCCCTAACCCTCGATGCAGAATTCTTTTTCGCGCTTGATCGAAACCTCGAAGATGTCGACTTTTTCTACAACAAGAAATACGCAGAGTTTTGTCGCCGTTTGAACCTCCTCCAGAACCGATATGGACGAACCGCCGATGTAGTCGCTACCCTGGATCAGGATGAAGTGGAGGAAGTAATGGGAGCTTTGCTTGAGCTGAGAAGTCAGTTCAGAAATTTGCAGTGGTTTGGTGAGATTAACCATAAGGGCTTTGTCAAGATCACAAAGAAGCTCGACAAGAAGGTTCCAGACCTTGTCACACAAGGCCCTTATATTGATACCAAGGTCAAGGTCAAGCCCTTCGCCAAACAAGCAAACACAACAAGACTTCTCGATGAGATTAACAAATGGATGTCTGTGCTGTCCGAAGCCCAGACTTTCGATGACACGATGTCTGAGCACTCGACCCGCTCCCTGGGTCGTGCTTCAGCAAAGGGTATGCTGAGCCTGCCTCAAGCTCAGCTCGATGCCCTTGACCAGGCTGTACGCAACGACGATGTTCCTGCTCTCGAGGCTGGCCTCAAAACAAGCAATGTCGTTGAGGAAGGCGCCCAGCCGCTGATGTTGGGTCTCTTACAGCGATCAATTTCCTCGCGTTCGAAAACATGTCTCGCGTTTCTACTAAACAACCTCAAAAGCCTGGACGAGCCAGATGATATCAATTCTCGTAATTGTATTCATCGTCTGGTGATTCACATTGGCCGGACAAAATCCGTTCCCGATGGAGAGCAGGTCTCAAAATCTCGACCCGTCCCTGCAGGCTCACAATTCAGCAACAAGCACCTCGAGCCTGGTCTGGCAACATCTAAGGCGCCCAAGTCACTGAACCAGAAGGAGTCTCTACTTTTGACCAAGGATGACGAGGCGGTCCAACTGTTTATCTTTTTGCTTGAGCAACTGCGCCCAGAGCAGAGGGTTGCGCTCAAGAGTCGGGACTCCTTTGGGCGCATGCCGCTCCATTACGCAGCTCAGTTTGGCATTGTGGTTGTGTGTCAGATCATCATGTCCAAGATGCAGCAATGGGACCAATTCCATGTCAAGGATGGAATTGATACACCTGAGTGGCAGGATAACGATGGCTATGCACCTCTTCACCTCAGCGTCGTCGGGGGCCATCCCTTGACCACTCAAGCTCTGTTGCAGGGCGAGAATTGGGAGGGAAGCAGCCCGTACAAAGCCGAAATTCGAAAGTCTATCTCCAAGTCGGGCGCTGTGCTAGCCATCGCTACCAAGTCCAACTATAGTGTCATCGTGCAGCTTCTGATTGATGCCGGCGTTGATATTAACTGGAGGGACAAGACAGACGAGACAGCTCTTCACGTCGCAGCTAGATTCGGGCACGAAGAGTGTGCTCGGATTATTCTGAAAGGAACCGCGGATCAAAAGGCGGATCTCGAAGCTACGGAGAGCACCTACTCATGGACTCCTCTGCATGTTGCCGCTGTGGATGGCAAGTACAACGTTGCAGAACTGCTGGTCGAAGCTGGAGCAGACATCACCCGCCTCGATTCTTCAGGCTGGACGGCGAGAGAGCATGCTGCGCTGAGAGGTCATATGGACATTGCGCGACTGCTCGAGACCAACGATGTTGAGATCGAATCGCCTCCAACACGACCTGTCGACGCATTGCAGCCAACTCCATCGGACATGTCATCTATCGGTGAACGTCGCTCGAATGGTAACGGAACCAACAATGGCTCGCGTGCTCCTGATGCTGCCATCAAGAGCTTCGGTCATCGATACCTGACCAATGAGAGCCTTGTACTTGTCAGTCTTGGATCGATGGACATGCGAAAGAACATTGAACCGGTCACTTTGGATCGTGTTCCACTTACCGAAGCTCATAACACGCAACTTGACACCGCTCTATCGATCGTTGTATCTGCTACTGGTGCCAGTGGTGAGCCCACCATCATCGATCTCCCGGTGCATGATAGTATTGCCACTGAACCTGTCGTTTTCACGACAACGGATGCGGCCAAGGTGAAGCTCCTTTTCGATATCGTCCCGACTTACTCAGGCAACGACAAGCACAAGGTTGGACGCGCGGTGGCGCTTTTGTCTTCTGTCAGACAAACCCTGGGATCTAGCCGCATGAACCTGCAGGGAGATGTTTGCGTTCCCATCATGTCAAGCAGCTTCGATGTCATTGGAACCGTCAACTTCAACTTCTTGGTCATCACCCCTTTCCATCACCCCAATATGGAAATCACATCGAGACAGACGTACTGGAAGAAGCTGGAGTCAACCATGGTAATTGGTCACCGTGGCCTCGGCAAAAACTTGACAAGCAACAAGTCTCTCCAGTTGGGAGAGAATACTCTGCCATCCTTCATTGCTGCGGCTAATCTTGGAGCTCAATATGTCGAGTTTGATGTTCAACTGACCAAAGACCATGTTCCAGTCATCTATCACGACTTCCTCGTCAGTGAGACAGGTATTGATGCACCAGTCCATACCTTAACACTGGAGCAATTCTTGCATATCAACCCCGACAAGAATCGAGATTCCAAGCAACAAGCAAGAAAGAAGCCTATTCCCACAGGTGAGCCTGGTGATTTCCGGGCTCGTAGCAACAGCCTAGCACCTAAACGCTCACAATCTATGGGGTTCGCCGGCAGTGGACCTGATGAGTTGGATGAACGCATGAAGCACACAAAGGACTTCAAGGATAAGGGCTTCAAGGGAAACACGAGAGGAAACTTTATTCAAGCCCCTTTCGCCACTCTTGAGGAGCTCTTCCGAGAACTTCCTCAAGAAACTGGCTTCAACATCGAGATGAAGTACCCTATGCTTCACGAAAGTGAAGAGCACGAGATGGATACATATGCAGTAGAGCTCAACTCATTCTGTGACACTGTACTTTCCAAGGTCTACGACCTTGCTGGAGAACGTCACATCATCTTCAGCTCCTTCAACCCCGACATCTGCCTTTGTCTAAGTTATAAGCAGCCTTCCATCCCCATCCTTTTCCTGACAGACGCAGGCTGCTGTGAAGTCTGTGATATACGCGCGTCATCCTTACAGGAGGCAATTCGATTCGCCAGACGCTGGAACCTGCTGGGTATTGTTGCTGCCGCAGAGCCTTTCGTCAACAGCCCTCGCCTTATCAAGATCGTCAAGGAGAACGGAATCGTCTGCTTCAGCTATGGCACACTAAATAACGACCCTGAGATGGTTCGGGTAAGTCTAAGCACACACAAAAAGATGCATGTCAATTTTACTAACCGTCATTGCAGCGTCAAGTCAAGCAAGGCATCGATGCTGTCATCGTCGACAGTGTCCTTGCCATCAGAAAGGGGCTGACAAGCGGGGAAACTCCGGCTGAGCCTGTCAACGGCGAGAATGGAACAAATG